TCCCATCGTCTCTCACGAGAATCTATTATCCAATAGAAGAAGACGGGACACGATAGTGAATATCCCTAGATGCTACAAAATACAAATTCCTCCCGAAAAAGTTAATTTTCTCACAAGGTGTTTTGTGAGTAGATACTCACAACAAGGCCCAGATTTGTCCACGTCGGCCCAGTTCTAATCCAAGGGTGAGGGGGTTAGCCCAGCCATGGCTCATTTAAGTGAGTTATTTAAGGGATTTTTTGCACAAGCCGGTCCAGCCGACCAAGCTGAACAAGATGGCTTGGGTCCACCTTTGATTTGGGCGGGATTGAGAAAGGGAGCCGCTGAGATAACTCGTATCCAGCCGAGACAAATAAATATCCAAAAGTGCACGAACTAATATCCGGTCTGAGTTGACAAAAGAGAGAAAAGCATGGCCCACCATCTGCTACTTTTGATGCTTTTGATGAATTTTCACATGAGATAGATGTTGAGCATTTAATGCCACCCACCAATTATTCTCACATGAAGAGAGAAATCAACCCGGATTAATATTCATATCGTCCAATCTAGTATCCATCCTTAACCAAAATATTATCCATGGACCGAAGGAAATTAGTTTATGTGGTCGGATATTAGTCTCGGCGGTATGGATATCAGTTTTTGCATGAACTGATATTATATACGATGGATATTAGTTTGTGAATTAATTGTGTCTTCCATCAAAATTAAACACGCTATCAAGTCCTAACACATAAAGCTTGCAACCTTAGTTAGGGCTGCCCGCCGAGGGCCCATTGGCCGAAGGCCAATGAATCAATAAAGTAGGAGAGCGTGTCTTCCAGACCCTGATATTAGTCTGTTTGTGATTTCAGAAATTAGTTTATGTGGTTAGATGTTAGTCAGGTTGCCAATGATATTTGTTCGTTTAAGGGTGGATATTATTTCTAGTGTGGATGAATGTTAGTCTGGGAGCCACAGATATTTGTTATATAAAGGACAGATATTTGTTTTGGGGTGAATGGGTGTTTGTATGGGCAGTATGGATGTTTATTTTATGAACTTATATTATATGCGATGGATATTAGTTTGTAACTATTCACATGTGAACCTTATGGTCACTATTCTCATGTGAATCTTGTACTAACTATTCAAATGTCATCTTTGTTTATTTAAGCACCCACCCTAACATATTGGTTTCCCAACTTACCCACCATATTGTTCTTCTCTTCTCAAACAACTTCCATGTCTTCAGAGTCAGAGGATGAAGATATCACCGAGGAAAGCATCCGGAAATGAAGTTTTTTTTTTGTCATGGTAGGTCTGATATTATTATGTTTGTGATTTCGGATATTAGTTTATGTGGTTGGATATTAGTCAGGGTGTCAATGATATTTGTTCGCATAAGGATGGATATTATATCTGGAGTGAATGGATGTTAGTCTGGGCGCCACCGATATTTGTTCGATTTAGGACATATATTTATTTCGGGGTGAATGGGTATTTGTTCGATAAAGGTCAGATATTAGTTTGTGTGTAGTGGGTATTAGTCTGTGATGGTGAGGATATTAATTATCGACCGACTGGATATTGGTATTGTATGGTGTGATAATAGTCTGAGTGGTGTGGATATTTGTTATGGTGAACCGATATTAGTGTGGGTGGTTTGAATATTTGTTTTGTGTGGATGTTTATCTATGTTTGTTTGTATTGATATTGAGTTTAAAACAAATCCATATAAAACAAAGTTGTTTTTCGACAAACCGCGATACAACTAGTACTAATGCCATTCCAAATTGGCAATCCCATAATCTAAAATCTGAAAAAGTACAACCACATAAAAAAGCAAAAAAGGAATAGTTCAAATGTTGTCTTGCTTGGCCAAACTCTCGATAATCTTTTTGATCATGTCCCTATGAGCCCCTCACGTTTCTATCATGCCACGGCGAGGTTAGAATGGTTCTTCTGCTAGTCATGGTCTCTTTGCTGTTGTTTTAGCTCTTGCCTTTCTCCAGTATCCCTTGAGCATAGATAAATATCCAGTATAAATCAACTGATATCCCGGCCACACAGAACTAATATAAGATAACTATAATCCATACATCCATAGTAATATCCAAACAAACCAAAAAAAAAAAAAAATCCACCAATGGCATACCTAATATCAAGCATAATATTTTCAATATCTGGACAACACAGAACTAGCATCAAAGAAGTACCATCCATATACAAACGAATAAATATCCAGACATGATATAACACATATATCTCAATCGCACAGAACTAATATAAGCGAACTAACATCCATATAGGGAAGAGAAATATCAAGATTCAAGACAGAGTAAACAAATATACAGACATCATATAACTAATATCCGAACAATCAATAGAACAATATCCACATTATAAAAAGTAGTATCCAAAGCATGCTAACTGTTATCCATATTAAACGAACAAATGTACAACGTTTTCCTGCCCGAACAGAACTAATACCAATTAAGGAATATCCAGATACATCAAACGAATACCCAGCAAATTCACAACTGATATCTTGCCCGAACAAAACTAATACCGCAACGCACAAAACAAATCCAGAAATCCACAAAATCCATTAAAAAAAAAACGAAGCAAAAGAAAGCAACCCAGAATTCCAGTCAAATCTAAGTAACCAGAAAACAAATCCAAAAAACAGAAGAAAAAGGGACCCAGATCTAGTCAAAACCATGCAACCCTAACTAACCGCCGTCAAACCAGCCGCCGCGTGCACCCAAACTAACCACCGTCGCCGTTAGGGACTATCGCGCGCACCGGCCGTCGTCGTCTATAGAGAGGAAGGGAGGAAGTTTCTTTCTTGAGCGACCCCTTCATTCGTCTACACCGTCATGCCGCCGTCAAATCAACTGTCACCGCTTCCCTCAAAGTCGCCGTCATCGTCACTTCTCCTCGCGCAACCGTTGAAACCTTCGTCTCCGTCAAAACCTTCATTGCCGCTTCTTCTAGACAGCCGTCGCCGTCGTCGGTATTGGGAAAGGAAGGGGAGAGAAAGTGTTTTCGGGAGAGGAAGGGGAGAGAAAGTGTTTTTGAATTTTGGAGAGAGAGTGAAAGTGAACTGACAGAGAAATATCAAAGAGAGGAGATTTGGGTAGATAAAATTAATTGTGTTTTTTGAATTGGTGGGCCAAGTGGACCCCACTTTTTCGTCCCAGAGTGTCTGGGCTTGGTCCAGTCGATGGACTCGGCTCTCCTCCCCTCACAGGTCGGCGCCAACCTTCCTCCACCGTCTGATCATGGCTCGACGACGTGGGTAGCCATCCGGCCCTGTGAGTGTATACTCACACTATATCCTATAAGCAGGATAACTAAATTGAATTCCTCCTGCCCAGGTAAGACTCGTTGGAATTCTTTTCTTTCTTGGGCATCGAAGAAATTAGGCAAAGTACACTTGTATAGCCATAACTTTCACGTTTGTGACAAATATAGTCATAATTATCGAAAAACCCAAAATAGCCTAAAAATTGGATGGTAGTGTGACAAATCTAGCCATTTCCGTTAGAAACTTTAACGGTGTTAGAAACTCCGTCAGTTAAGTTAACGTTAGACTGATTAGGATGCCAAATCATCGGACACGTCAGCGACACATCAGCCACATTTGCCATGTAAGTGCCACGTCATATTTTAATTTAAAAATAAATAAAATCATATATTAATTTTTCATTCCTCTCTCCCCTCCCACCACTCGTCGTCGCCGTCGTCAATTAGAGGAGACAATCTGCTCCCCAAACCAAACCCCATATCCCTTTTTTTTTTTTTTGTAGAAACCCCAAATCCCTCTGCTCCATTGTTTTTACATTTATCCTTCCTTTCCTTGCCCAACTGCTAACAAAAATCAAGTAGTTGAGATGCCCCAAACCCAAATCCTTTTGAGGAGGCCATCTGCTTCAATCCCTCTGCTCCACCTCCAATTCCAATTCCAAAAATCATTTTAGGGTTCCGAGAGACTTCAGAGGAACGACGGTGCTGGATATCAAAGTGCTGACCGCCGCCGATTGGAGGCTTCTTGTCGTCGTTTGGAAGTGCCCGGTCACCGATTGAAGGCGTTCCTTCGCTGATTGAAATTTTCTTGCTAGTGGCGTTCCTCACCACATCGCCGATTGAAAGGTTCCGGTCACCCAGATCCGTCGTTTGCTTCAGCTACCACCAAACCATATTTCACAGGCGTTAAACTTCTCCTCGTTGCGGCGACCAGTGACGGGGGAGGATCGATTCGCAGTGGCTCGACAGGAGCTGGTAGAGGTATTCGTGTAGCAATAATGGCAACGGAGGTAATAATGTCGTGGCGGTAGCCGAAAGAAAGGAGGAGGCGGAGGCAAATTTGTTCGAGATTGTATTAGAGAGTGGCGGTGAAGAATCTCTCGACTCCTTGTTGTAGTTGTTGGTTGGTGTTTTTGAATACATAAGGAGGGTAGGGGTTCTTGGGTTTTTGGTTGATTCCGTTTTTCTAATTGCTGGGGAACACAACATGAAGCGGGAGACGAGGGGAGGGCAAATAGAGCTGGACGAGGAAGAAGCCCCGCCACTGCAGATCTGACACCCGAGAAAGAGTTCGATGAATCTGTTGCCGGGAACTCGGACTCGGGTCTGGGCGCGGAGGCGACGTCGAGTTTGGGTTTCAACCGTCGCCGTCTTTGTCTGTCGGTGGTGTGGATTGAGTTTGTGGGGGGAAGCGATGATCTGGAATTGAGAAGAGAGGAGAGGCGTTGTTCGTAGCGAAAGAGGAAAGAAGTGAGAGGGGAGAGGGGAGAGAGAATAAATTTATTTAATTAATCTATTTTTATTTTTTTCTGTTAATTCCACCTCATATTATTATTGACAAAATATCGCCAACTCAGCATTTTCCGTTAGTCTAGTCATATTGTTAGTTGACACCGTTAAAAGGATAGACGGTTATTTTGTGTTTTCAGATAATTATGGTTATATTTGTCACAAACGTCAAAGTTATGGCTATATAGGCGTATTTTGCCAAGAAATTAAAGAAAGTTCGTATTGTTTTCAGCTCCATACTGATTGTCGCAAGTTGCAGTTTCTTGCGAACTTTTTCCGGAATGGGTGCTGAGCATAAACCAGCAACCGAGGACGTAAAGATGGACATATTTGAGGACGATGATGAATTCGAGGAGTTCGACATCAACCAAGGTGCCATTTACTTTTCCTAATTCCTCAGTCTCTGGATTTAGATAATGTTAGACAGTGGAATTTCTTGTAAAAAGAAGATTCTGAAAACCCTAAGTTCAACAAGACAGGAGTTTGGATTTTGGAATGATGGTATTGCAACTAAGGCTCGATAGAGTTTGGGATTAGGAAGGACTTCAGTGATCAAATTATGGCGTAGTAGTATAGGATGAGTGTCCACTGTCTGCTCACCTCCTCCTGGATGTGGTTCAGCAAAGTGGGTTTAGGGTCAGAGGCTTGCTGAGTGGTGTGTTGCTCTGAAAATTCATTGTTCAATCTTGGTGGATGATATATTTGACATATGATGCATCATGCATACTTCTGTTAGTACATCTCTTGTGGTCTTTGCTTTCGAGTTGATTATGCTCTAAGGAGCGAAAAGCTTAGCAGCTCCATGTTGTTTATAGGCAAACACAGGAGTAATTCATGCAGTCCATCTTTGTCCAGTTGTTACTGTGGGCTCATCTAGCTTGCTCCAGTTTTTGGGATGCACTTGGGATTTTGTTGTTAGGTCTTGATGTAACTCGGTAGGACTGATTGATCCCGAATTTGATCTTTTCTGTTACTATTGTCTTTTTGGTTCTAGCTATAGGATGGAAAATGATGTTTGTATCTTCAAATGCCACTCATATGTTATTATTCTTATATATAATAGCGGACTACACTTTATTGGCCCAAACGTGTCACTACTGTTTCATTCTTTGTCGTCTAGCAAGGGAAGAGTGAAGAGAACTATTATTAAAAGCAAGCAAGTAGCAACCCTTCACCACATTCCCATCCCTTCACCGCAATCACAAGCAACCGTTCAGTAATGTCTCATCTCACCATTCCAAGCTATAGGCTCTTACCCACACGCCACCACCTATATCCTCCCCTTACTCCTCTAATTGGAGAAGACCTCCCTTCTCTGGTTCTATCCTTCCTTTTCAATTTCAGCTGCACCTCCTCTTTCCACACTCAACTCTTCTGCCCACCTCACCACCATGAACTTCACCATCTTTTCTAAGCTAGCATGGACGGCTGGAGACCCTAGGCGGTGGGGTTTTCAAGTTATCGACAGTGTGGACGAACGAAATCGGTGAGTTCTTTTTCTCCTATTAGCTCCTTCTAGGCAATGGTTTCCGGCCTCCCCGCATATCTCTCCCTCGGGAACTTTCATTGCAGTCTTCCCCTGTTTTCCTGGCATCTCATCGTTCTTAGGCTAAGATCCTTCATCTCAACTATCCATCGTTTTTCCTGCTCTTCACTCTGAATCTCAGTTTCTTTTCTTTTCCGCAGTCGGATAGACTTCGTCTCATCTTGGGCAGTGACTGGATTCATGGAAGAACTCAGTATTTTGAAGTTCACGGTATATGAGCAGATTAAAATGATGAAAGATTCAATGATCTTTGTTTCTTGGTTCTTTTATGGGTGAAGTTTTATTTTAATTTATTTTCCTTTTTTCCTTCGGATATATATATCATCCAATCTGGGTACTAACTGGGAACAGTTGCAGGATCATACCAGCAACAATATGCGAACAGCGAAGAGCATTTTTCAGGTGGATCCCGTGGGATTGTGTGTTAGCTCTCCCGCCATTCTTCTCTCCCAACAGGTTTACTACTTACTATTACCTCCCTTTGTGTTTTGGATTTGTCTTGCTCATGTTTGTTGTTAAAAACCCTTGATTTATGTCATTAGTTTTGTTCTTTGCTGCTAGGCTTTGGAAGCCGATAAACAACAATCCTTTCTTCGTCTACAACGATTGCATTATCACCGTCAAGCAATGGAAAAAGCCCAAATCTTACAACCTTTAAGGGTTCCCAGCTCCAAATTCCACCACCTCTCCGGTATCAAACGGCAAACGAGAAGTAAGAGGAGTTCGAGCTGGCATTCAGTTTGTTTTCCACAGAACTCCGAAGCTGTAGTACACCGACAGAAGGGTATGGATACAGAAGGAGAGAGATATACTGATTTGTCTGCTTCAAATTAAGGTTATAAGGAGCACTCATCCCAAACTTTATTTTGTTGGTAGGGACCCTATTATGAAACTGGCATTTCATGTTATTGGAGCCATGGATATGAGTTTAATAGATTTAGATTAGAGAATTGCCAAACTCAGTTTTACATCTATTATTGAAAGACCATTTCCAAGTTTGCCTCCTGTTGAGTTAAACCCAACATCCACTTCGTGACCTTATTAATAATTTGTAGCAGGTCCTTCCCAATTTTGGGTATATGTTTTGATTGTTTTTCTCCTGAATCAAAGCCTCACTTCGTTTACTTCTTCAAATTGGTTTTGTTCTAAGTTTTGAGCAACATCAATTTTGCTGAAACTTCCTTCCTTATGTGTGATTCATACAATCTTTGGTGTCACAGGATGATGCCGAGGATCCTCGACTGTCATGTTTGGATCTCGGTTGTGGGCTCAGTTAATCGCCAAAATTCAGTGCAGGGCGGACAGAGAGCACAGAAAGACGCACAAGAGTGCATTAAATGGGTTGAAAGGTGCTTTCTTCTTTATTGATTTTCTTATCTAACTCACTGATTCATTTATATTCCCATTCAATGAGGACTTAGTGTGCTTGCTTTGCTATATTGTTTGTTTCAGTTAAACAAGATCTCAATCCTTGCTGCTCAGTATGGGGTTCAAGAGGAGTTGCAGGATATCTCTTCAGTTAAAACTTTCAGAAACTTTTCTGAATTGATTTTCATGGATCGGTTCGTTTAGCCTCTCAACACTGAACCTTTCAGCTTCCATATGAAACTAATTATGTTCACCATCATTTGCATTTACAGGTGGGAACGTGTAGTATAAGCATGCTTTTGCTGCTGCTAGATTCGAGAAACTTGATTTTCCTACACCATCATCACTTGCCTGTTCCAGTCCATTCCACTAATCCTTGAAACTCTTCAAGTAAATGCTATTTATTTTAATATTGTACTTATTTCGAGCATCATTTTTGCCTATTATGATTTGATTTCATGAGTAGTTAAAGCCCTTAAATTAGGAGGATGCTTCTTCTTATACTGCGGTGCAGGTAGATGTTGACACATCCGTGTTAAGCAGAGGAGGCTGCAATGAAGGTAGGAGGATTTAAATATCTCGATTGTGAAGTCCGAATGAAAGGAATTGCCAAATACCACGACTGAAAAGATGGTAAGTCTGACGGGTATGTTGTTTGGTTGCTTTTGAAGTGGCAATCATGCGACTACATATTCTTTAAAAGATAAAAGGTGGGTACGCTTTATTACCCTCAACTTACTACTACTGTTTCACTCTTTGTCATTTAGCGAAAAGGGCTTCTTTTGTTCTCCGCAGGGCAGCTGGTTGCGGCGGCCGGGGATGCTCCGCTTGCGTCGGGTCAGAAGCCAATTCCGCCGCTGCCCGGTTAAATCAGCAGCCATGCCTTCCGTACGCATGCTCCATATCGCCCTTTCCGTAAAACCTGCAAGGAATAGTGTTTTATTGTCCTCCCGTCACTTCGCCATACAGCTTTCTCAACCAATCCTTCCCAGCGCCAGTAGGACCTTCCCTTCCCTCAGCCTAGCAGACGACCATTCCTCCCATCCGTACTTGCATGACTTGGATTGCCCCCTCTTTTCTCTTCCTTCCCTTCAACGCTTCCCTCACCTTTTCCGTGTTTCCAGGTTGTAGATTTTACTGCCATGGGGAGGGAGATTGAGGGCTGATTGGTTTGTTCGTTGCCCTCTCCCAGCTCAGTTCTGCACCCCATTCCATTTTCGTGTTCATCACCACACCATTCTCGGTCCAGTTCTCCGGCTCGACCTTAATACCCTCTCATCTTCGTCTTCTCCGATCTCATGGGGAGGGAGATGAACCCCCACGACAGATTCTAGGGGTCGAGGAAAGGTTTGCGTTCCGATTCTTTTGTCCCTTTGCCTTGCGTGAAGAGAATAAGCCCCTAGACTTTGCCATGGACTAAACTTTCTTCGCCGGAGACTTTAGCAAATTTGAGGGCCTGTACAACGACGGTCTTCTATGACTCTCTGGTGAGTTTGCTTTAACATACGTCTTTCATGTATTCATTTTTTCCTAAGCAAAAGGGTCTGCCTGATCCATTTTTTTAGGGGAAATATTGGAGTCGAGTTAATAAGACATGTACCAGAGATCAATTACATCTCATTCTCTTCACGACTCTCTCAATTCTACACCAAGAGGTCACTGAATTGCCTAATTGTACTTTGCTTAATTGATTATTGCTGGTGAAGTGCTTGATTAAATGAGAGTTGTATATTTGGTGTCGCAGTTGGCTCAATGACAGGATCATGTGGGGAGAAAAGCTATTATGATTTCACTTGGGTTGCTCGCTCAATCCAATTGGTGTGAAGTAGCTGCTGCTGGATCAAATGAAAGACGTGTTTGATGTTGCTCACAATTATCTTTTTGCCCTTACTGCCGTGGAACCGAGTTAAATGATAGAATGTAGCTTTGTTCTTATCATCGCTAATGTGAGTATGATGAAACTCTTACTTTTCCTTTTTTCTGATCCTTTATTATAATTAGCAGTTTCATGATTTCCTTTGGTCTTGGACAGGGGAGGCTTATAAGCAAGGACAAGAGAAGCAAGGTCTGGTTTGATCACCAGTGTCGGCTGACAGCAGAGGGTATGAGAAGTCGTTTGGGACTATTTTGGGTTTGATTTGCCTCGAGGTTATGAGTTGTGACGGATACAAGGGACCGAACGGAGGCTCAGCTTCGGATGGAATAGAAATAGGAGGTTCGCTTTCTCTCTATCCCTATATCTTTTTTCAGTTTAATTTCTCCAGATATCTCTCATTCTTATTGTTCTTGCCCCTGTATCTCTTCTGACATATTGGGAACAATGGCATCGGCGGCAAAGCCTCCACATATGACAAGATCTTACTTGCAATCATTTACAAGTCGGCCTCTCTGTATATCTCCCAATTTTATTTCTGCTGTTTTTCATTTGTTGGTTGGCCATAACTGTTCCGTTCCCCTTTCTTTAGTTCTCATTTTGTGTTTAGTGGGAATAGATCAATCAAGTCCTGGATTAATTTCTTAATTTTCTTTGATTTTTTCCAGGTTAGATGTTTCCCTGCTAGCAACTGAAGAGGGTGTCTTTGAAGTGAAGGCAACTGTTGGAGACACTCACCTTGGTGGTGAGGATTTTGACAACAGATTGGTAAACCATTTCGTCCAGGAGTTCAAGAGGAAGAACAAGGAGAGTATTTCTTTTAATCTCTTTGTTTTTTCCCCAAGATAGATATGATCCAATTCAGGTTTTACTTCCTTGAATTCTACATAGCTTCTTAATAATTTCTTTCTGTTTGATTCTTTAGGTCAAGACTTTTGCCTTGGACACTCAATTGAAGCTTAAGGATCTACATCAAAGCAGTAGGTATGGCAACATGTGGGTAGTGGAACAATTTTAAGCTTGGGTGTATCTTTGGCCAAATTATTATCAGGTAGCATAAACTAGCTATTGCTAATCCTTGCTTTATCTCTGGCTTATCAATGTGGAAAACTTACTGATAGTCACTTCCTACAAAGCTAATGCAACTAAAATAATTAAAACTAATCGATCATGCTTTCCTGTATTTGCTTGCTCGAAATCATGAACTTTTTTTGCTTATAGGATACCTATCGGTGCTTTATACATTGCATTTATATTTTACTTAAACTGCTTCGTTGCCTTTCAAGGACAAACTTTCAGACAACCGAGTTTGAGGCTCAATTGAAATTCGAAGTCAATTGAATTTCGACGGTTTTGAATTATATCATTTGATGGCCAGGACGGTTTTAAATTATATCATTTGATGGCCAAGACGGTATGGAGTGTTTAATATAGTGATAAATATACCAGAAGCTGCAGGGGTTTTCGTAAGCAGCCCTCAGAAGGAAAATAGCATATTTGTAAGAGTTCAGAAAGCAGATGTTTGGGAGATATTTCCAGGATTAAATGTCTTATGACTGAAGATCATATGATGCATTTATCCTCTCTTGATGAGCTGCTACTACCATTCTGCATTTCATGGTGGAAATGGAGTGACATGTGCAGTAATATATGGAGATCTGTTCAGTGGATCTTCTTAGTGTGAAGAAGGCAGGAATTTGAATGAACGACAGTTATAGAGCATGGCTAGGAGGCTGAGCTTGCATTTCTTTTGATGTTTTTCCTTCACTGTTTTGCTGCTACCTCTTAGCAGCCTGATTATAGTTAGTATTTACAAACTCTTCAGTCATTTTGGTTTCCTAATAATTTTTTATATTACCATTAATACAGAGGACGAACACTTTCAATATTATTCACTTCTGTAGAACTATGTTGTATATAGGTTTGCTATTGAGTGTTTAGTAGTAGCAAGTGGTGTGCAGCCTAAAGTAACTTTGCTTAAAGCACACCAACAAAGTTAATGCATCATTTGAAGTGAATTTCCTGTCCATGAAACTCCTCTACGGTGCTTATGAATTTACATTCCTCAGCTTACCATACAAAGTTCATTAGGTCCTCTTGCTGTATTGTTTATCACTAAGAAGGTGAGTAGTTTACAAAGGGATTCATTAGTTAGTAATCATTATTTTGTTCAGATTATGATAGTGCTTTGTTGACCAAAATTATTAATCAATGTGATTTTTAACACGTGCATCGAATTATAGTTTTATGCTTAGACCAAGCTTTTTTCCCTGAGCATTTGCCTACTACCACATAACTTGAATCACAGCTAAGGAGATCAGATCAGAAGATGAAAGAATAGACAGAATAGACAATAAGATTAAAACATTGGAAAAGCAAAGACCAAATCAATGAACTTCAAGGTCAATTAAAAGTCCAATTCACTAATTATGCCATGTCCTGCGGCGTAGCCGCGGGTATTATTTCTAGTACTTCTAAAATTTAACATTTGTGTGCTTTTTATTTCTTACCGAGGCTGTTGCACTCAAAGGGGAGGTGAAATTGAGTTTCAAATCCTTTTGAATATGGAATTTGGTGGTGATTAACAATTTAACATGAACATTATAGCTTGAAATATGTGTTTGCACGATATAATTGAATGTCTAATGCATGTTTGCATAGGTAGTCTTTCTTGATTCAAAACCAATGTTGTACTTGGTGGGGAGGGTAGAATTTCTTTTCAAAAGATGTAAACTTTTTCCTTTTTCTTGCAATCCCTACATCAGGTCCGTACTATCATACCTATCATTGATCTCTTTCCCCAACCACCAAATCTAAATTTTGGTTAATCAAAAGATATCAGCTGGCACAAAAATTCACAACAGTTCACTTATTAGCCTTTTCATGGGGTTTTAGTAGTCTATGTCCTCCTTCTGCCAATGGATATGTATGGAAAGGGAAATTTCAACCACGCATTAAATTGATGTGGTGAATTTGAATGCAGGTGATGCTTGCTTTTGCTGAACTGGACCTTGAAGTTACTATATTGTAGGCTACAGTTGATGCTAACCGATAATGATACCAGAGGAGGATGAGTTTATTCTTGCCTTTCTTTTGAGAGACTTTAGGTAAAGAAGCAGGCAGTAATGATAAACTGATTTTCTTTTGTTTTACTTCAGTTCCAGCTGTTTTCAGCGTAGAGTTCTATTTGTTTAGTTTAAGCCATTATAATTCATTATTAGGATCTTCTTTCTTGGTGTAGGCTTTGTCAATTGTCAGGTATATCAATCATCCTAAAATTGAGCTTCCATGCAATAAGCATATGGTGTGTTCGGGCTGCTGCAACATTTCTTGCCCTGCTACTCTGTGATTTTGCTTTTGCAAATTTTTAATTTAGTCATTGTATTGTTCTGTTTCTCAAACAATGTATTTTTGTCTTAAATGTATATGTAAATGTATTTGTATGTAGATGTAATTCTTGCAACTTAAGTCCCCGCGGCGTAGCAGCGGGTATTTTTTCTAGTCCTTTCTAACGACTGTGTTTATGTAAACAAACAGAGTGGGATGACAGGGTGGAAGTAAAAGAGGTGAAACAGCAGTGGGAAGATGATTGGGACGACCATGATGTCAACGATGACTTCTCGCTGCAGCTGAGGAGGGAACTGGAGACCAGCGTGGTGAAGAGCTAAGTCCAGCAGCTACGGTGTTCCTCTTGAAGATTTGTAGTTTGGTGAGATGAGAATGAATTGACTATCAGAAGCTCATATTCTTCACGTACACTGGTTTTTCCGGACTAATCTTTCTGTACTTGATTGGCGCGAACCCTTCTTACTGCTATTACTATTAGTGTTAATGTGTTACAGGAGAATGGGATTATAACAATCAAGCCAAGGAATTAGATTCAGTTTCTTGCTAACCTAACAGCTATTGTCCAGTACAGACTTTGATAAAAGTCAATGGCGGTAGCTCGGCCTTGGTGGCTGAATTTCTCCTACAGGTTCAGTCACTGCAAGCCAAATTGTCCTTTTAAAATTTACTGATGCCCACTTGCATAAATAAGTAATGGAGTCATCTCTTAACGGCAAACCAACTTGTGATACTATTATGAAATCTTTTACCAGTTTGTGCAGGAACCCTACTCCCAGTCGAGATTACATTTGCTGATTAAACATGTAAGAAAAAAGTAATCTTATTCCACTAAGTAGGTGGAGAAAATAAGTAAATCAAGATGGTAAAAAAAAAAAAACAAACAAAATCAAAGAACTCACATCACTTGATGTTTGACCTGCACAAATCAGAAAGTAACCGCAAACCAAACCCAGCAGCAAGCAAGATTTCAACACCAACTAAGCAAAGCTGACTTAGTCAGGTTTCTTCCTATGACAATCCATTAATAGCGAGCTCTGATCATTAATGTGTATTAAAACTAAATTACTTGTCATAGTCTAATACATCACACAACTATAGACCTCAACATCCATCAACAGCAAGGGAGCTTAGCTCTTTGCCTGACCAGCATAGCCAACAGCAAAACAAACTCAAGGGAAAACGCAAGGTGGAAGAAGGCGAAAAAGTCCACCAGGGGACTGGTTCAACGGACGAGGATGTTTAGTTCAGATTGATTGCATAACAATTCATATATATCTTCATAACCAATCCAGGTTTTCTGGCTCTGCAGTAGCAGAATCAGCATATTGCTGGAAGGTAGCAGAAGCAACGGCTAGCTCAAGTTACTTGGATGTCGGTATGATCTTTTAACCTTCATCTCCTCTATCTTGCATGATTCATTCAACTATCCAATTCGAATTGGTGTAGAGGACATTGAGTTAGTTCATTATTTCGATGATGGTTGTTGACCCACAATACTGTCTCTCCTGAGTTGTGCAATTGGTTCTTCTATCTTGCGTTAAAGAAAACAGCAACTTCCCATTGATATATCTTTTGTTTCAACTTGTTACGTACCTGCTTCTGCAGCTCAACTCGGATTCAGCCCTGATTAATGCTATCGCTGAATCTATGTTGGCATCAACTTCCGACATCATAAAAACAGTGCCACGTGTAGTAGAATCACAACGGGAGATCTTCTTCGAAATCGGATGCTACATCTACCGCACTTCTTTTGCAGTGATGGAGTTGCAAACAACTGAGAACCCTCCGGAGAACGCGAGGGAGATCCTGGAATCACTTTCCAGAAGCATCAATGAGGCCAAGGATCTTGTTAGCGGATGCAGGAGGAGGAGCTTTGTAGAAGAAGATGGTTCACTTCCCTCCGATGACTCCAATATTAGAAGCACCATAAGTCAGCTGGAGGAGGTGATCAAACGTGCTGGCGAAATCTTGAGAAGCATCCCTTCATCAACCTTTATAGACAACGAATATTCAGAAATGGCTGTCAGGTCCATTGCTAGTGAGATGCAGAATGCTCAGTTCAAAGTTTTGCAGAAAGAAGAGGCAGCAGAAGAGCAAGTGACGGAAGAAGCACAAAGAGAGCCCATTGAGTCATCAGACCTCTATCCCACTAATGCTGATTTTTCAACAAATGATTCTCAAGTCTTGGACACGAAATTGCCGCAGTTGATTCAGTTCCTAAGGAGACCCACATCAAGTATCAGCAGGAACCAAGGGCTCAAAAACCACAGAAGCATATCTACAGCATCATTTCCAGATATGGCAATCGAGCCTCTGTACGAGACATTCTGCTGTCCACTAACGAAACAGGTGATGGAAGATCCAGTTACCATACAAAGCGGGGTCACCTTTGAAAGGAAGGCCATAACAAAGTGGTTCCAGGACGAGTTTGAGAGCTCTCCTGAAGCTGTCTGTCCAGTCACTGCATTGAAACTGACCAATACAAGTTTGAGACCCAATGTCGCTTTACGGACCACGATTGAGGAATGGAAGGAAAGAAATGAGGCTGCAAAGATCAAGGTCTGTCGAGCTGCTTTGTCTTTAGCTAGTACAGCAAGCATGGCAGTAGAAGCAGTCAGAAATTTGCAGCAAATCTGCACAAGGAACCCATTCAACAAGATGCAAGTTTGCAATGCAGGCATACTGCCATTGCTTGACAACTTCCTGAGTCATAAAGACAGAGATGTCAGAATTGCAGTTCTGGAATTTCTCGTCGATTTGGCGGAAGAGGACGATGGAAAGGCACGGTACTTCGATCCTTACCCCTCAAAATCTTTATTATGTCACAAAAAAAAAGCAAAGCTGTTGAAATGATCACTGACTCCAGGGTTCCCTCCTTATCTGCAGGAAATGATTGCAAAAACAGTGGACTTGTCAGCAGTTGTGAGACTCCTGTCAAGTGGCCACCAGGTTATAAAGCACCAAGCTTTGTTATTATTGCTTGAGCTGGCGAGATTGGAGGCAATGTCTGAGAGAATTGGATCCATTACCGGGTCGATTCTGATGCTCATCAAACTCAAGTACAGCCATTCTCTCGATTCATTTGCATCAGAAAGAGCAGAATGAAATCTTGATGTCCCTCGGGAGGTTGCCTGAGAACGTAAAGCAAATGGCAGAAAATGGGTTTCTGGAGCCCCTCATAAATCAACTCTCTGAAGGTGAAGTGTACTGATAACGCAAATATCTAGGAGTTCAGACAACTAACGATTATACTGGAACTTAATCAATTTTCACCTAACAGGCCCCGAGGAAGTACAGATTGAAATGGCAAGCTACCTTGGAGAAATCTCTCTCGGCCATGAAAGCCAAAAGACCTATGTCGCTGACAGGGCTTCTCCAGTTCTCATCAGGATGGTGCACAATGGGAATGCACTGACCAGAAGAGCAGCATTCAAAGCTCTGGCTCAAATCTCTTCATACCATCCCAATGCAAACACACTCACTGAAGCAGGAATCCTCCACATTATGGTCGAAGAGATGTTCACCCGGAGAATCTACAACGAACCCATGGATTCGAAGAACGAAGCTGCTGCAATACTTGCAAATATACTCGAGGCAGGGGTTGAGCTTCAGAACCTCAAAGTAAACAGCTACGGCCACAAGCTAACTTCAGACTACGTGGTCTACAACATCATCCACATGCTCAACAACTCGACTCCTGAGGAACTCAACATCAACCTGATCAGGATCATTCTTTGCCTTGCTGACTCGCCGAATTCGATGGCTACAATCGTCTCGGTGGTTAAAAAACAATCCGAAGTGAGCTACAATCTCATCGAACTGATCAACAATCCCCACGAGGAACTAGGTGTTTCGGCCATCAAGCTACTGATCAAACTGTCTCCTTACATGGGGCACACAGTGATCGAGAGACTGTGCAAGACAAGAGGTTTGCCAGAGAACTTAATCCTCGACGAAACTGCTGGAACAACAGCTAGAACCACAGAGAGGCAGGCGCTTTCAGCCCTATTTCTAGCTAAACTCCCTCATAAGAACTTGACACTCAACTTGGCACTTGTCGGCCTAGTCCCCAGAATCCTGGACTCGATCAATCAAATCCAAAGCTCGGGGACAAGATCGAGCAGGCATTCAAGTGCTTACCTGGAAGGTCTAGTGGGAGTCCTTGTGAGGTTCACATCTACACTGTATGAGCCACAGATGCTGTTTCTGGCCAGAACCCACAACTTCACATCGGTATTCACTCAACTCCTGCTGACCAAAACATCCAACGATGAAGTTCAGAGGCTATCCGCATTTGGGTTGGAGAATTTGTCAGCAGAATCAGTAAACCTGTCGAAACCACCAAAGACCAAGAAGCCAACGTCATTGGGCAAAAGCTTCAGCATGCGAAATTTTCTTTCCTTTGGGTCCTCCAACAAGAGACGAGCCCCTCTCTGTCCTGTCCACAGAGGAGTGTGCTCCTCACAGGACACGTTCTGCTTGGTCGATGCGAATGCGGTGGAGAGGCTGCTGACGTGCCTGGACCATGAGAACGCGAAGGTGGTTGATGCTGCTTTATCAGCCATCTGCACTCTGTTAGATGACAGAGTGGACATCGAGAGCAGCATCGCGATGCTGATCGGAAAGAATGCTGTGAAGCAAATCCTGCACGTGGTGACGGAGCACGGGAGTGAAGCTTTACGGCACAAGTGCTTCTGGTTTCTTGAGAGGTTCCTGGAAAGCGGTGCGGACAGCTCTGTTGGGGATATATCCATGGACAGGTCATTGCCTGCAATTGTGATTAGCGCTTTTCATCACGGAGATGGCAACACTCGCCAGATGGCTGAGAAGATTTTAGGCCACCTGAATAGGGTGCCTAATTACGGAACTACCCACTTTACCATGTAGAAAGAAGTCTTTGTGTGTATATACAGAGATTATGTTTGGGAGAAGCTAGCCAGTGTGTGGTGTTTAATGTGAATATATATAAGTTGGTTTCTGTAAGGATTCTTTCAGATATTGTGTACCATTGGCAGCCACATATGGACTTAGCAGCACAATGAAATTCCTAATGATCAAACCCATCACATCTTTATCAAGAACAACAGCAGAACAAAATTCATCCTTCTCGACCAATGTTGTCAGGTCCCCCCAATATCTTCATCTTCCTTTGCAAGCTCCACAACTGTAACTTTAGCCACATTACTTCTTTGCCATTGTTGTTCTTTTCATTGACAAGGAGGGCTACTGATGGTTCTACATCAATTTTCCCACTTTGATCCATTTCTTCAACCATGGCCAATTCATTTTCCCATCTTTTACCAATAGCAAACGTACGTGATGGGTGATATGTCCAAAGTTTCCATCATGACATGCTCAGAAAGAAGTTCAGTATCGTCCATTGCATGATGGACCAAAAGACATGATCTAAAATCCCCCCTGTAGTTAGGGAAATCAAGCCAACTGATGTTGCTGCAATTGAAGCTTGTGCATTCGGGGTGGAAGTACTACTGAATCCCTAATCCAACATCTAGGTTCTTGCCATTGAAGGAGGGAAATTTCAAACATATTGAAAGTTTGACTGTGAATTGCAGGTTTGGCAGGGGAAGTAATCATCGCTGTGGAAACCTTCAGCTCGGCATTTCGTCGAGCAGGTGGTGGAAGTCGCTGTGAGTGGGAAGAAAGGGAAGAAAAGAAGAAGTAGGAGAGGAAAAGAGGAAGGGAAGGAGACAGAGAGGAAAGAACAAAAAATAGTCTTAATTTGTTATTCGATATCTAATTCAGTACAAATTTTTTTTATTTATATGACACACTGAATTACAAAGAAAATTCAAGCTAATATGTTTTACACTTCCTTCCTAATCATTACATAGCCGAGCAACTCTTGGTCGGTGCGCACGAATTTTGTCCACGTCGGCAATTCCTCGGCACCTCCAAGTCGGTTTTCAAGAAGTTCGAGAGAGTGATTCTGAATTTTGCTTTTCTTTTATTTATTAATTTTATTTAGAGTTTCAAATTTGTTTAGAATTTATAATAAAAAGTAAACATTACAATTACAAGTCGACAACATATTTCGGCCCGTAACCCGATCACCCCGCTACCTAGCTCACCCGCAACCTAACTAACCCATAACTCGATTAACCTGAATATGATTGATCCGCAACCGGAATGACTCACAACCCGATTCACCCGTAACCCAATTGACCCGAACACAATCGACCAGCAACTCAATTAAATCTGTAACCTAATTGACGCGAATGATTACAATATTATATAATATATAGTCTTTCAAAATTAAATTTTTCGTTCTAAACCTAGTAAAGCCATTTTTCATTTTGTAAAAGGCAGTTCAAATATGAAATTCACTTGAAAATATGTATTTTTAATGAAATTATAATTATAAAAATATTAATTCATTTGAACATTAAGTTCTTTAAAAAAATTAGAAAAATAAATACTGAATATATAAGCAGCACAAATATTGATAATGAAAAATTAAGAAATGAGATGTATAACATTTATATTGTATATATACAGTAAAATCCTTATTAATTTAACTATTAAAAAAAGTTATCAATTTAATCTACATAGAGTAAATTAATTTATTTAGTATAGATTATTTTAAAAGAAAGAGGAATTTTTGGTAATGTATTTGGTGTCAACCCGAACACGCTCGAACTCACCTAATTGACACCTCTATACCTACACCTGGTTATTTGATTTTTCTCGTAGTTTTCTCTACTAACTTATCAAAATAATCAGATAGGTTTGGAATGTAACAAAACGATGACAAGTGTTTAAGATGTGATAAAAAAATTTATATATGTATTACAATATAGTAAAAATATTATTTCGTCTCTTTTCATCCATATTTCTATCCAAAATGGTCAGTTAGATTGCTGACTCCTTGTATAAATTAATAAAAAGGAATCAGATGTCTAACAACCGCTTAAATTTATCTCTTATCCAGAACAAGTAAATTGGACATTTTAGAGGGAAATATGAATGAAATGATGTGAAATAATAGGTTGTCAATATGTGATATGTACGTGGCCTTTTTGTTATGTTTTAAATATTTGTCACCATTTTGTTACTTAGGAATACATCTGAAAAAACAATCCTCCAATTAGTAGGCATGAATATCAAATAGGGCATGAAAAACAATCCATGAGTATCCGAGAGGGTAAAATTTGGTGTTGAAGGAATTTGGGTTGGGTGTGGGTTTTCCTTACTTTTGAAATTGATGGGTTGGTTCGGGTGCAAATTTTCTCAAAACTCAACCCGCTTTCACCCGGCATGCTCGTGAAAAACCAAACAACATATTTTTGTATCTAACCTTAAAATATGAATAGTTATTAGATGCTAATAGTTTTTATCACAAATATAGTTATAATAATATTGATAACTTATAAATGTTATTAGTCTTTATGGAGATATATATGTAGGCAAATTTTTTTTTTTATAAGTGTGATGGATTTTATTAAAACAGACAAGGATCAAGAGAATTGATCCCCAAGAACATAGTTCTTGCGAGCAAAACAACAGTAAAAGAAAACCCAGCCCAGAAGAAAGGCAAAGCCTGCAAGGCGGACCAGACCGTCCTTGCAGGAAGGAAGACGAGAGACAGAAGACGCCGAAAAGGCCTCAAACCGGTAGAACGGATGAACAGCCAGCAACAACACAAGGGAACCAGAAAAAAAGGAGACTATCCAAGTACCGTGAGCCCAAAGTCAGCCCGAAACAGTAGACTGTGAAACAATCCTCAAGCTCTGGAGAGGGCAAACGTACCGCCACCCCAACCAGCAGTTTGGTCCAAATTTTTTTTTTTTTCTTTTTCGCCCAACTCCTAACTTCGTTCGAAACTTCAAACGAACGTAACTTTACACTCGGGTATCCGATCGTAGCGATTTTTTTTTTCATTTCGCATAACTTTTCAAGATCTACAACTTTTAAAAAGATGAAATTTTCAAAACAGGAACTATTTGTGGATATACGGGACCTTGAGAATAACTTTACCTTTACTTTTCAGAAATCCATGTACATTTTGAAATTATGATTATATTAAAAGTTGTAGATCTTGAAAATTTATGCGGAATAAAAAAAAGTTCATAACATTCGGAGTTTGGAGCACAAAGTTATGGCCGCCCAAAGTTTGACGAAAGGCGAAACCCGGCGGTTTGCGGCTTGCAAGATCTCAAAAAGTTTGTTGCCTCCATTTTGAATCCGAATAACTTTTTGAGATCTTGCAAGTCTCAAACAGTCGGGTCCCGTCTTCGTCTCGAAAAAACGTCATTTGCCACCCCGAACGACCTTTTTTTTTATTTCGTCAAACTTTGGGCGGCCATAACTTTGTGCTCCAAAATCCGAATGTCATGAATTTTTTTTTTTTATTCCGCATAACTTTTCAAGATCTACAACTTTTATTATAATCATAATTTCAAAATATACATGGATTTATGAAAAGTGAAGGTAAAGTTATTCTCAAGGTCCCGTATATCCACAAATAGTTTCTGTTTTGAAAATTTTATCCTAGTAAAAGTTGTAGATCTTTAAAAGTTATGCGAAATGAAAAAAAAAATCGCTACGATCGGATACCCGAGTGCAAAGTTACGTTCATTTGAAGTTTCTACCGAAGTTAGGAGTTGGTCGGAAAAAAAAAATATTTTGGACCAAACCGCTGGTCCAAATTTTTTTTTTTTATAACCGCCCCCTAGGCCCGCGGTTTGGTCCAAAACCGCGCCCCCGACAAGCGGTTTTCGACCAAACCGCTGGGTGGGGTGGCGGTTTTTGAAAAAGGGTGGTATTTTTTGAATTTTTTGGGGTTGGGTGGTATTTTTGGAATTTTTTTTTTAAACAGTGGTACTTTTGGCTTTTTCCCCACCCCTCATGGACAAAGATAGATGCAAATCCCACCCCACACTCTCATTTTCAAAGGATATTAAATCTGACACCCAAGCTTCTGGGACCGACGAGGCAGCAGCAACTCTGGGGTAAGCATCCTTCAAGATCAATCCCGGCAACCAGCAGTCTTTCCAGAATGAAACCCAAGCTCCGCCCCTGGGAGTGACATACGCGAAGTTCCAAAATAAGGCTTCCTCCTTCATAATTTGCTTCCACATTGAGCAGCCCAAGGGCCCCCCACTTGATCCTGCTCTCCAGGTAGATGATGGGTTTGGGAATTTAAGCTTGATGAGTTGTCGCCACCACGAAGTAGGTTCCATCGCATATTTCCAAAACCATTTTGCGAGAAGAGCAGAATTCATACAATTGAGATCCAGCACCCCAAGGCCACCTCGCTCCTTTGATGCCTTACAAACATTCCAACGCACTAAATGAAATTTACTCTTATCTTGTGTGCCCGACCAAATAAAATTACGCTGCATCTTCTCCATCTTGTGAATGACTGTTTTGGGAGCTCTCACTAAGGAGAACTGACACAAAGGCTGACTCGACAGGCTGCTCTTACAAAGAATGATGCGCCCGCCCAAGGATAAGAATTTACTTCTCCAGCCATCAAGCCTTGACTGAAATCTCAGCATAATATTGTTCCAGATGGCCGATGAGTTTGGGCTGGCACCGAGTGGAAGGCCTAGGTAGATGGTTGGAAGGTAGCTCCAGCCGCACCCAAAAATTCCGACAAGAGTCTCGGGATTCTGTACATCACCCACAGGAAACATCTTGCTCTTCTCGACATTAATCCTCAACCCAGTGACAGCTTGAAAACACACCAAGGTTGATAATAAATTCAAAACTTGATCTTCATTAGCATCACAAAAGATAATGGCGTCATCGGCGTACAGAAGATGAGTTACTTCACCTCTCGAGTTGGATTCATCCATAAAGAAACCAGAAAGCCAGCCTTCACCCCTAAGTGTCTCGAACATAGCCGACAAAACATCCATAACGAGGAGGAAGAGGAAAGGGGACAAGGGGTCGCCCTAGCGAAGACCTTTCTGCATTTTAAAGAACCCGGCAGCTTCCCCATTGACAAGAACCGAAAGAATCGGGGAAGTAACCAGCCCTTTGATCCATAACTTGGTCTTTGAAGGGAAACAAAAGCTGTCAAAAATCTTGAAGAGACAATTCCAATTCACATTATCGAAAGCCTTCTCAATGTCTAGCTTAAAGACCAAGCCCGTTTTGCCGCTTTTTCTTCTACTATCAATCAGTTCGTTAGCTATTAAGGAAGCCTCATGGATTTGCCTGCCTTTTAGTCCTCCAAACTTATTCCCAGAAATGGTCTTCCTCATGATCGGTCTAACTCGTTCTGTTATAGTCTTGGACAGCAGTTTGTTGATACTACCAAGGAGGCTGATAGGTCGAAAGTCTTTGATTTCTTCAACCGCTTCTTTCTTAGGTATAAGACATATAAAAGAGTGAGCAATGCACCTGGGAAGGTTTCCATTAGAGTGAAATTCGTTGAAGGCCTTCATGATATCATCTTTAATCACCCCCACTGTTTCTTGAAGAAGGCGAAAGAAAATCCATCAGGACCGGGTGCCTTGCCCCTCTGCATCTCCTGATCACATTCCAGACTTCATCTTCCGTAAAAGTTCTAGAGAGCATTTCGCCCTCTTCATCAGTGACCTTGTAACATCCATACTGGGCAGGGAAAGGGCGCTTTGGGCTGTCTTCCTTAAAGGCATTGATGAAATGACTAACGAAAGCTCCTTTCAGCTCCTCACGTCCTTCAACCACCGTGCCATTAACTTTGATATTTGAGACCAGATTTCTTCTCCTATTATAGTTGGCGACTTTGTGAAAATAATTAGTATTTTTGTCGCCAACCTTCAGCCAGAACTCCTTGGACTTTTGACGCCAGGATATCTCTTCCATAATCAAAACCTGATCCAAATTGCATTTGAGGTTGCTCCTCGCAAGGATTTCTTCCTCGGTAATACTAAAATCCTCTTCCTTCCTATCTATGTCTTTAATCTTCTCAAGGATTTCGGCAATCCTCACTGCCACCTTCCCAAACTCATCTCTATTCCAAGCCTTGATGCAACCTTTCAAGTGTTTAAACTTCTGCCCTACCAGGAAAAGATCCCCGCTACCGGCAGGTTGAGCATTCCACCAACCTTCCATATGCTCATTGAAAGACCTGTCAAGGAGCCACATGTTTTCAATTTTTCACGGCCTGTGAATCCTCTCATCCTCGCCCCATAGGAGCTGCAAAGGGTTATGATCCGAAATCACCCTGTCCTGAGCGACAAGCCTGCAGTTCTGAAGTAAGGAATCTAACTGAGTACAGATCAAGCAACGATCTATTCTCGACATTGAGGGAGAAGAACCACCTCTGCTCCAGGTAAAAGATGCTCCTACCATGGGGAGGTCAATAAGATCTAACTCAACAATGAACGAATTAAATTCTTCCATTAGTTCAACACTTCGAGGAACTCCTATATAATCTTCATGAGATCGAACCAGATTAAAGTCACCCATAACACATAGAGGGCTAGAAATATTCTGACATTTATGCCTAAGTTCAGCAATGAATCTTTCTTTCTCCCTTCTATCTTGTGGTCCATAGACGATTAAGAAGCTGATCACTTGCCTATCTTGAATGTCTTCCAACTGCACCATCAACCAGAATCACCTTCCTGCTCGTCAAGCTTTCTAAAAAATGACCCATCCCAATAAATCACAATGCCTCCCTTACTGCCAATGGCATTTTTCGCAATCCATTCTGAATCTCTACTACCACATACCAAATTCACAAGAGCTTGATCACACGTATTCCATTTAGTTTCAGTAAGACCCACTACCTGCGGCTTCCTTCTTCGTAGTATCCCCTTAATCCTTGCTCTTTTCTGTTCACACCCAAGACCCCTGACGTTCCAAGCAATAATTGACTTCACCATTATGATGAGGGTGCAGGTGTTTCCAAACCTCTCTTCTTCCTACTTCTAGGACCTTCAACATAGCTGACCACCGGACCAATTCGATATTTCTCCATCTCTGCTTTTGAACGAGGAACCCATTTTTTTTCTCTCATGAGTGAGAACGACACTCTTATGCACATGGGCAACCACGTCGCCGAAGCTATTACCATCAATCTCCAACTCGAACACGTTGCACATCTGAAGTCTTCGACTGGAGAGACTATCACGATCAAAGGGTGACAGGCCCGGATCGAACTCAACACGATCATCTGGATTAATAGGATTGGAAGTATGGCTGTCAGGCTCAAAATATGATGGGAAATCGGGCGGGAATGGAGAGTTGGAAGAGTCTTGGGAGTTAGGAGATTCTAGGGTGGTTAATTGGGGAATCAGAACATTGGGGAGTTCTAAAGGAGGGGTGGGTGAATCAAAGGAAGGTGGTTTATCAAAGGGCGATACAATGAGAGTCGAACAAATGGGTTGAGCAAAGAATGTCAAGGTAGGCCTTTTTTTTTAATGTACTTTGATATGAATGTTGGAGAAATTATTTGTGGTTATATTCATGAACCAATATATACCCATGCATTCGCAGGTACGCATTAAATTGAGTTCGATTTTCTCTTTTAAAACTCATTAAGTATTTTTTTCATGAATTTTATGATTATTATGGATCGTAAATCATCCTCTTATGCCCCCCCCCCCCCCCACACACACACACCTAAACGAAAACTAGTTATTAGATCTAATACCTTATTTAGAATTTGAGTTTAAAAACCGAACAAACCTTATCTCTAATCCTAATGCCATTTCAGGAACAAGATGCTTTCCCAAAATTGCGAGCGGCAATCTTTATGGATATCAATTTGGTAGTGCCAAATGCCAGTGGCAGGCAGGTACTGGGAACAATAATAGTTTCAGGATGCATTTGTTTTGTCTTGTACTTTAGCATTAGCCTGCAGGCCCTCGCTTATCTCATTCCCCAACCTGATTCCATATGGCTCCACAAAACCCACCTGCTTTCCAGTTTCCACAGATACTCTCTGTTATGGTTTAAGGAAATATGACAGATGTTGAAACGACATAACTAATATAAAACGACCAGGCAAAGTCACAGACAATTGATCTATGCACATATATCTGAGAGAGCATGAAGGATGATTCATATTCTGCATTAAGTGGGTGGAACTTGTCATCCAACAAGACATAACTTTTCTAACCAGGAAAGAAGCCCTTTCAAGTGTCACCGTTGACATTTCTGAGGCAAAGTTGTTGAATATAAGAATGGGAAAGTTCTCTCAAACACTCAATTACTTGATCACTCTTGCTCTCACCCTCTTTATAGAAAAGATACTATATTGATTGAGAGGAAAAACTACAACGAAGAACGAATTACACAGAACCCTAAAATCATGCCAAACGAAGTTGGCCCTTTGACAAAACAAACTCGAAAACTTCTCTTCCCAAACCTAATTCACCCCGCACCTCGCACTGTGAATCAAATAACTCAAAGAGACACAACTCGGACTGACAGAAGATAAATACGCTCTCTGCTATTTTCTTCTACACAACTCAGTCACGCATTGATTATGAGAAGAGATGGCCATTTATACTGAAATAGAAGATATGACCGTTGGCAGGGTTGTAGACGCTCCTCTGGAGTCGGTGATTTCTTGAGAAGGAGATCGCCAGGTACAGCTTGCTGTGCTTCTGAGGATGCATAGGTGGGAGGCTAGGTTTTGAGCAGCTCGATGATCTCCTTCTCTCGACGAAGACTTGGAAGGACGATTGTTTTCCTTTTGTCCGTTTGGGTCTTAGACGACGTCGTGTGGCAAGGCTGGCATGCTTGGTTGTGAAAACGTCATCGTTTAGTTGCCTTGACAGGAACGGTACTCTATTTCTTTCATCAATTTCCCCCTTCGTCCGACAAGTCCGGCGATTCCTGCAAAAACAGCATACAGAGCAGAGCAGCACTCAAGAGAAATAAAGAGCTATCATTAATTAATCCGAAATAAGCAGGGAGGATACACAATAGAGAAGATAACTCCTTACATACTTCCCCCTGGGAAAGTGCATACAACTAACTAGCAAACAACTAACAGACACTACAGAACTACTACTACTACTAAAGAGACAAATTGGAGGGAAGGATTCCCCCTTAGGAACATCATGAAGAATTAGGAGACAGGAGAAGTGGAGTCTTCTGGTGCAGCTGAATCATCTGAGGAAGAGTTTCCATCAAATATGGTGAATACAAGATTGGTATTTTTGCTGGACTCTCCAACAATAGACTTTCCTTTGTTACTCCCAGCAGATTTTGGTCGAGCTCCAAGGATGGAAGTAGAGGGAAGTGGTGGAGGAGGTGGAGTGGTGTCAGTGGGAAGATCTAGGACCATTAGTACATTGAGAGCGCCCACGTACATGGTGTGTGACACGCTTCGATGATCAGAAAGATCAATGCCCAGATTTATGAGCATCCGAGTTATGATTGACCCGAATGGCATCAAGCCTTGATAATGCTCGTCTCCTACTGGAAGAAAACTTCCAAACATCAGACTGGAGTAGTCCAGCTTTCGCCCAGCGGTGGCACTGGCGATGATCCACAGATCGAGTGGTAAAACCACGTCGAGGTTGTAGGTTCTAGGAAAAAAGACATGGGTAATGAAGTGATGGAAGATTCTCAAACGTGGTGTTAGCCAGTTGATGGGAATTGGCACGTTTGTCCCTCCTGTGGGTTCAGTGGAGAAGTTTGAGTACTCAGTGGGGAGGATGAAGTTTTGCTTCCAGAACTCTGATGGATGAGCTATGTCGATTCCTTGAGAAGGAAACCCAAGAATTCCGTTTAGAGCTCCTACTGGAATGGTCAAGAGATGACCATAAACGATTGTGGAGAAGCTTTTGGTGCTGATTCCTTGGCAACGAAGATTCGAGTAGAAATACTTGACTGCACCGGGACAAGCTGGGTGAAGCGGCTGTCGAAGAAGAAAATCCCATCCCAGAGCTTCTATGAGAGACATAATGTCGTACTTATAGAAGTTAAACTCATAGGGATCGATTTGAATATTGTGGTGCAGCCTCCTACTCTCAAAATGCCGAAGATGACGATAGTGGTTTATTACCACAGGCTCATGAAACATGTAGCCTGGGTAAGTGTGAACCAACCCATCAAAACGAAAAGGTTGAGGAAGTTGATCACTCATTTTTGAGTTTGCTTGTTGTTTCTTGTGTTTGTGAGAGCAGTGTGAGGAGTGGTGAGCAAGAAGATGGGTTTAAATAGGCTTGAAGGGCTGAAGAGGAGCGGGAAAGGAGGAGAATTCGAAGAGTCTATTTTCCCTAAACCGAGAGTAATCATTACAGAGAAGGAAAAAGAAATACGCATGAGCTGAAAAGAAGTATTTTGTTTAAGTAAATCAAGATGAACAAAATGCCTAGATTGCAACCCGCCCAATGATATGTTTATCTTTTTATATCTTTGATTTGGTTAAAAGATCTTAGCCCCAGCTCAGTGCAGAGTTGAGTAAACCGTTCACTGGATAAAGGTTTTGTAAATAGGTCGGCCAGCTGTAGGTCAGTAGGTATGAATTGCAAGCATACATGCCCTGCTTGAACTAGGTCTCTTATAAAATGATATTTTACCTCTATGTGTTTAGTTCTAGAGTGTTGTACTGGGTTTTTTGTCATACAAATCGCACTTGTATTATCACACCAGACTGGGATATTTTGAAACTTAAACCCATAATCTCCTAGTTGTGTTTTCATCCACGTGATTTGTGCACAGAAGCTTCCAGCTGCAAGATACTCTGCTTCAGCTGTTGATAGTGCAACTGCACCTTGTTTTTTGCTAAACCAAGAGACGAGTGCAGGTCCTAAAAACTGAATGCTCCCTGAAGTACTTTTCCTATCAATTACACTGCCTCCAAAATCTGAATCACTATATCCAGTAAGTTCAAAGGAATCAGAGAATGGATACCAAAGTCCTACTTCCATTGTTCCTTTAAGATATCTAAAGATTCGCTTTACAACTTTTAAATGGCTCTCTTTTGGATTAGATTGAAATCTGGCACATACTCCAACACTAAATTGGATATCTGGCATGCTTGCTGTTAAATACAAGAGTGAACCTATCATTCCTCTATACTTCTTTTCACACACAGGCACACCTGTTACATCTTTATCTAACTTCAAATTTGTAGCCATAGGTGTGAGACATGAGTTTACTGTTTCCATGTTAAATTTGTTGAGCATGGATTTTATGTAATTAGTTTGGCTTATAAACATTCCTGAACTTGTTTGTTTGATTTGCAATCCTAGGAAATGTGACAATTCTCCCATCATGCTCATCTCAAATTTGGATTTCATTAATTCACAAAAGTTTGTACACATGGTTGGACTAGTTGAACCAAATATGATGTCATCGAGATATATTTGTACTACTAGTGTATCTTTGTCTTTTATTTTGATAAATAATGTTTTGTCCACGTTTCCCTGAACAAAACCTTCAGCTTTTAGAAATGAGGATAATTTCTCAAACCAAGCTCTAGGAGCTTGTTTTAAGCCATATAGTGCTTTTGATATCTTATAGACATGATCTGGAAACTCATGATCTATAAAACCAGGGGGCTGGCTTACATACACTTCTTCATTTATTTCTCCATTTAAGAATGCACTTTTAACATCCATTTGATATAAGGGAATTTTCATATAGCAAGCATAGGCACAAAGCATTCTGATAGACTCAATTCTGGCAACAGGTGCAAATGAATCTTCAAAATCTATTCCTTCTTCTTGTAAGTACCCTTGGGCAACTAGCCTAGCCTTGTTCTTTGTAATTTCACCTAGTTCATCAGTTTTATTTCTGAAGACCCATTTTGTTCCTATGATTAATTTGTTAAAAGGCCTTGGTACTAATTCCCAAACATGCAATCTTGCACATTGTATGAGTTCTTCTTGCATAGCATGTAACCATTCATCATCAGTTAAATCTTCTTTATAGTTCTTTGGTTCAAGGAGTGAGACAAATGCATACTGACCTGGGCAGTACTTACCTCTGGTGTGTATTCCTTCCTCTAGTTTCCCAATGATTTGTGATGCAGGGTGTCGTTTTTGTATATGAGCAGGTGCCATTCTTTCTTCTGGTTGATTAGATGGTTTTTCTGTTGGCTCTCTGTCCTGCTTGTCACTTGCCTCCTCATCCTCTAGCTTTACATCATTAGTACTTGGTATTGGAAACAGAAGATCAATGTTTTCTGCAGCAACTTTCTCAGAACAAGCAGAATCATCAAATTTTACAAAAACTGATTCCTCTACTCTTCTAGTTCTGAGATTGTATATTCTATAAGCTTGTCCTTTTATAGAGTAACCAAGAAATATTGCTCTCTCAGCTTTGGCATCAAACTTGTATAAGTGATCTCTGGTATTTAATATATAGCACTTGCATCCAAAAGGATGGAAGTAGCTCAAGTTTGGAGTTTTATGTTTCAGAATCTCATATGGTGTTTTTTCCAGATGTTTCCTTATTAATACTCGATTTATTACATAAACAGCTGTCATAACAGCTTCTCCCCATAATAACTTGGGACTTCCATATTCTAGTAACATGGTTCTGGCAGTTTCTATTATAGTTCTGTTCTTTCTTTCTAAAACACCATTCTGTTGTGGTGTTCTAGGGGCGGAAAAGGTATGATTTATTCCTTTATCATTGCATAAGGCAATGAACTGGTCTGATATAAATTCCCCCCATTGTCACTTCTTATTGACTTAATGCCAGTATCAGATTCATTTGTCACTTTAGAAACAAATGTTTTAAACATTCCAAAGGCTTCATCTTTTGATGCCAAGAGATATACCCATGTAAAACGAGAAAAGTCATCAACTAGAACAAAAGCATAAGATTTACCTCCAAGGCTTACCACATTTGTTGGTCCAAATAGATCCATATGCACCAATTCATATACCTGGGAAGTAGTGATGTCTTTCTTCAATTTGAAGCTTTTCTTGGTTAACTTACCACTTGCACAGGCATCACAAAAGAAGTTAGCCTTGTCTTTTAACCTGGGAATGCCACGTGCAGACTCTAGTTTTGACAGTTTTGACATGCAAATGTGTCCTAATTTTCTATGCCAGAGAACTTCCAGTTCATTTGATGCTGCATGAAAGCATGTTTCATTGAATGTATCTAAGTTGTTTAGATTGACAACATACATATTGTTTTTCTTTACGCCACAAAATAATAATTTGTCATCACTGATCCTAGAAATTTTGCAAGAGTTTGCCTCAAAGACTACTCTGTTCTCAGTGCTACACAACTGACTTATTGACAGGAGATTGTGTTTCAAACCCTCAACAAATAAAACATCTTTTATAACAGGAAGAGGACCCTTACCAATTATCCCATTTCCTATGATCTTACCAACCCTGTCATCACCAAACACAACCTTACCTCCCTTTTCATATTTTAATGAAGAAAATAATTCTTTTCTACCTGTCATGTGGTGGGAGCACCCACTGTCCAGGTACCAAATGTTTTCCTTTTCTCCCAGATTCTGCAATCAATCATTCGTTAGCACATTTTGGTACCCAAAATGTTTTATATACAGCAGGTCTTTTTGGTTTTAGTAGATCATAACAAAATTTTGCTAGATGACCTCTGTGCTTGCAGTGAGAGCATATATATATTTCTGTGTACCCTTTTTTATGCTCTGTATTACCATTAGATAAACCATACATCTTCCTAGGTGTCCTGTAGTATGTTCTGGTTCTGCCAGTGGTGTCTCTAGAAGATGTTTGAAGGTTATAGTGTGAGTTTTGCTTCAATTTTTTATTTTCATCTATTAGCTCAAAAATCTGTTTCCTAAGCTTATTTTCATTTTCATGCTGAACTGCAACTAATCCTTTCAATTCACATAACTTCTTAGTCATATTGTGATTTTCAGTCATCAGCAGACAATATCTACTCCTAAGTCTATTGCATTCTTCTTGAAGATTTTTTAAGGCATGCAAAAATTCTGACTTAGAATTAGGATACTCACTTTTCTCAGACTCTGAGTCAAATATTACCTGATAGCTAGAGGGATGTCCTTGATTGCTACTTATCTCTGAGGATGAGTCATTGTTGTCTTTGGTTGCAAAAGCCATGTAGGCAAGATTTCTTGTTTCTATTTCTTCTTCTGAGCTATAATCACTCCAAGAAGCCGCCATAGCCTTCTCCTGTTTCCTCATATTTAAGGGGCATCTGGATCTCATGTGACCTGACTTTCCACACTTAAAGCAAATAGTTAAATCCTTTTCACTGGAAGACCTATGGTCTTCCTTAATTTCCTGAGTTTTCCTCTCTCGTTCCTCAGCTGGTCTTTCTATTCTTCTAAACAGGTTCTTATCATTCTGAGTACTTATTTTATCAGGATATCTTCCAGCTGCCCTTTCTGTTTCTTTACTTCTCCTAGGTTCATAAGCCCTGTTGTTAAACTGTCGAGTGTTTCCATAGTTCTTTCTATCCTCAAAATCTCTTTTCATTTTTAGCATTCTATGGAACTTCCTACTGATTAGTGCAAATTCCTTTTTAAATTCTTCTCCCATTTCACATTCAGATTCACTTTCATAGCCTTGTGCTTTAAAGGATATGACTTTTTTTCGTTTACTATCCTCCTTGTTCATCTGAACAATTACCTCTTCATGACTTAACAGTGAGCCTACCAATCTTTCAATTGACAAAACATTTAAATCTTTTGCTTCTTCTATAGCTGTTCGCTTTGGAAGCCATTCTCTAGGTAAACTTCTCAAGATTTTTCTAACAAGATCCTTAGTGGCAAAAGTTTTTCCTAAGCCTTTTAATCTGTTTATCAAATCATTAAATCTTTTATACATGCTTGTGATGGTTTCTCCTGAAAACATTTCAAAAGACTCATATTCATTAAGTAGGACATCTATTCTACTTTCTTTTACCTCAGATGTACCTTCGTGGGTGGTTTCAAGAGACTCCCAGATCTCCTTTGCTGTCTCGCACTGCGCAACTTGGCTCCTTTCTTCTGGACTCAGAGCAGAGAACAAGATGTGCATTGCTCTTGAGTCCTGCTGCGAAGACAGCTTTTGATCATCTTCCCATTTCTCTTCCTCTTCATCATCCATGGGAATAGGCCCGTTCTTGACAATCGCCCATAGTCCGCCATCGACTCCCCGAAGATAAATCCTCATCCTTTTCTTCCATACTGTGTAGTCTGTGCCATCAAACCACGGCGGATTTGTGTTTGCCGAGTAAGAACCAGAAGCTGGTTGTGTTCCTGCCATTGTTGTGATCGTCTTTGGCGAAACTTTAATTCCTTCAAAGACCCAGCTCTGATACCAATTATTGAATATAAGAATGGGAAAGTTCTCTCAAACACTCAATTACTTGATCACTCTTGCTCTCGCCCTCTTTATAGAAAAGATACTATATTGATTGAGAGGAAAAACTACAACGAAGAACGAATTACACAGAACCCTAAAATCATGCCAAACGAAGTTGGCCCTTTGACAAAACAAACTCGAAAACTTCTCTTCCCAAACCTAATTCACCCAGCACCTCGCACTGTGAATCAAATAACTTAAAGAGACACAACTCGGACTGACAGAAGATAAATACGCTCTCTGCTATTTTCTTCTACACAACTCAGTCACGCATTGATTATGAGAAGAGATGGCCATTTATACTGAAATAGAAGAGATGACCGTTGGCAGGGTTGTAGACGCTCCTCTGGAGTCGGTGATTTCTTGAGAAGGAGATCGCCAGGTACAGCTTGCTGTGCTTCTGAGGATGCATAGGTGGGAGGCTAGGTTTTGAGCAGCTCGATGATCTCCTTCACTCGACGAAGACTTGGAAGGACGATTGTTTTCCTTTTGTCCGTTTGGGTCTTAGACGACGTCGTGTGGCAAGGCTGGCATGCTTGGTTGTGAAAACGTCACCGTTTAGTTGCCTTGACAGGAACGGTACTCTATTTCTTTCATCAAAGTTTCTTAGCCACGTCTCCAGGTTACATATCTACTCCATTACTGTTGTTATTCCTGTCTGAGTAACAAAGTTGCATGCTCTTTTTGGTCTCTTCAACCGTTGCAGAGCCTTTCCAGAGCAGACTTTGCTGTTTTCTCCACTCTACCAGAGAGAGGATGGCCTCCTTTTCTATGGAAGACTTTGTAGGCAATGGTGTTCTGAAAGAGCTGCTCCCAAAGTTGTTGGAAGAAGGATGGGATGATGTGCCAACTTTGAAAATTATGGACACTGAGGACATGGATGAAATGAACCTGACAAGGAGACAAAAGGTACACATAATCCATTCTAGAGTTCCTCACCTTGCTGAAAATAATCTAATTGATAAATGGAACCTCAGATTTTGTTCAAGTCTTGCTCTTCAGAATGCCCTTGAGATAAGAACGTACCTGCATGATCGTGCTCTGATGAACTATGGAGACAGACTAGAAGCCTCTGGGAAAGGTTTGCCAGAACTTCTTGCCCTCAGTAACGCCAATCTGGCATCACAGTTTGGGATGAAGAGAGGTCATATAGCTCGTTTCTTGGACAAAACCACTGCTTGTACAGAGCCTTTGAACAAATCAGAAGCCTTACCTATTAGGAAACCTCCAACACCATCAAGAAGCGAAAGCCTTATCAAAAGTTTTGGGTCTACCACCTCAAGAAAGATGGCTAGCGTATCAAGATATTCTGCAGCCAGTATGATGACTTATGAAAAATCCACAGAACAGTCGCTGGCTGATTTCAAGATCAAAGATGGGTACGTTTTCAAAGGGGTGATTGCTGCAGGGCCAGCTGATCCTCGAGCATGTGGCTGTAGAGCTGCTCCACCAGTAGTGGACCAGGTTGCTCCTTATTCTACCATTGAGAACATTACTGTTCAGAAGCTGGCTCCGGAGTATAAGATTGGGATGGAGCGCTTGCTGAAAACCAAGGCACCTCCAATGAAGGCTTCAGAATTGTGGCGTGACAAACCAGCGGTTATCCTCTGTATTAGACGGCCTGGGTAAGCAAATCAAAGGGGCAACACAACATTTAGGAAAAACCTTCTATGTATGCAAGCTTCGTCACTTGTCCTAATCAATTTGCAACTGTTCATACGTATTTGATTAAATTAGAAGAAGCATGGTTTAAATCAAAAGTGAACCTATGCAATCTGAATAGCAGTAGAAAACTAAGCCACACTGTTACCACGATAGCTGTAATATTCACATTATTACCCTGTGCAATTTCTGTTGAGAACAGGTGCATCATGTGCAGAGCTGAAGCTCATCAGCTTTATGCTAGGAAACCCTTATTTGACGCATTGGGAGTTCAACTATATGCAGTTCTTCACGAGCACATAGAGTCAGAGGTGCTTACTGAATATGAACTTCTTAGTTATCAACCGTTCTTTCTCTGATACAATTGTGAAGGTACAAGACTTCTGGCGACGGTATTGGGGGGGGGGGGGGGGGGGGGGGGTGTTGTACTTTTTGATCGAGGTATGGACTTCTTCAAGGCTCTTGGTGGTGGAAACCTGCTCAAGGACAAGTTCATATCAGGATTTCTCTTCAACCCTCGAGCAATAGGCAATAGCTAATTACAAACGAGCAAAATCCCTGGGACTGCACCAAAACTTCACTGGCGAATGTGAGATCAAAGGTGGACTTTTCATAGTAGGACGAAAGAGGTCTGGCATTGCTTACCCGTTTGTTGAGAGGAACTTCGGTGACTGGGCTCCTGTGACAGAAGTAATTGAGATCTGTAGAGACTTACAGGTAATCTTGTTTTCTTTTCGCTCCCATAAAGCATATAGTTACTCGATGTGCATTCCACTTTAACCTGGTCTTCTCCAACCTGATGCAGAACCAGCAGCAAGAGCAAGGAGAGTCAATCAAATCTTCACAGGAGTATGCTTGAGGTGATCAATTATTACATATTGATCAGAGGTCACCATATATTACTGTTGCATGGGGTTGAACGATAGCAATACTTCTAAGCTCTAACGTTTGAGGGTTTATTGTATTCAGTTAGCACTGTTGTTTTGATTAGTTTTGACTAAGGAAGAACCGTTTTCAGACAATCAACCAGAAATTTAAGGATCAGTTTCCTACAAAAACGCCAAAAAAACTAGGACTGGGATAATACAACTATTTTCTCTGACTAGTATAACTAAAAAAGGTTCATTTGTCAACAATTCCTGGCAGCCAAAATTTTAGACTTTGCAAAAAAGGCTTTTCCTACATGCCAGATGCATCTTAGCAGAGATGTTCAAGAGAGAAATGGAAATAAAAACCTCAATGCTGCAGGTTCGCAAATTGATCACATGAAAATTTGGATGTGGAACAGAATGGTTTATACAAATGGCTTGACAAGACTATCATCTAGTCCTGACACAGGCTTACGTATTTCATTCAGTGCAAATGTAAGAGTCCTGTACCCATCCATGCCTCTAAGCATTGGCCAGAAAGTTAAATACAGCATCCTCTATAACAGAGGAAGGACAAAAGAGTTCGGAAAGACAACATCTGGGAGGTATTAGGAGCTAGGGTGTACCCCCATCTGCAGCTGAATGGACTGCCGACTGCTCCATGACAATCTTGTTCGTGAAGTTCTATGATGATGTTTTTGGAGTAAGATAATTCTTTTCGCAATGGTAATTCAATCCATGAAGTCACCAGTTCAGAAGTCACCTACAGTCACAAATTTGGATGATGAAATAACCTTTTACCAAAAATCTCCACAAGAGCATGCCCCATCCTTAAACAAATGGAACCTGACCGCATCTCTAACAAGGATCTCCCTCTGAGTTATCTTTGAGATGTATTTAGTAGCATTATGACAATCCCTGCACACCCTCAAATTTTTAACTATTCTTATAGGACAATGACGAGGAATGAATATCAATCCGAAGGCAATCGCCAGCCTCTCACTATGGTGGCCAAGCATCTTTATTTTCTCCAGTTCCTCAACATCATGTAGAACTGAACTGGCATCTGGCACATACCCCATTTGTATCATTTTCTCGTTTAATTTTTCCAACTCAGCATATATCTGATCATAATATGGACTGGAGAAGTCGTCTGCTGAGAAAATGTAAAGCTTGTTCTTAAACTTTATCCAACTGCATCCAGGATCCTTTCTTAAACCCTTTTCTCGCATTCCTCTCCTTAACTGAGCTACAGTATTCCATTTTCCTTTAGCAGCATAGATACTTGAGAGCAAGATATACCCTGCAGGATTTGTTGGCTCTAGGTCTAGAAGCGACTCAGCTGCCCATTTCCCTACCTCTAGGTTGGAGTGAACTCTGCAAGAGCTCAACAAAGTAGCCCAACCAACTGCATCTGGCGGGAAAGGCATCTTATGAATAAAGTCTTGTGCTTCTTTTATTCTTCCAGCTCGACTTAAGAGGTCAATCATGCAAGTATAGTGATCATGAATAGGAAGTATGCCATGGTCTCTAGACATTGATTCAAAATACCGATACCCTCTTTCCACTAGTCCTGCTCTACTACAAGCTGAAAGAACCCCAATGAATGTAACTGAATCGGGTCTTAGGCCTTGTGCCAACATCTTCTCAAATAATGTGATAGTCTTATCAGCATTGCCAAATTGTGCATATCCTGAAATCAATGCAGTCCAAGAAACTTCATCCCTGAATACCATCTGATCAAACAACTGGTTGCAGTACTCAACACTTCCGCATTTACCATACAGAGTAATGAGTGCATTGGAGACAGTAATAAAAGAAATCAAGCCTGACATTAGGGCTTGCGCATGGAATTGAGCTCCTTCTTCTAAGCTCGCCAAGTTTGCACATGAACTGATGACACTACCCAGAGTAAAATCATCAGGCTCAATCCCATTTTTCTGCATGTCGGAGAAAATCTTAATAGCTTCCTCACTGAATCCATTCTGGCCATAGCCCACAAGCATTGCTGTCCATGAAACAACATTCCTGTGCCGCATTCTCCTAAAAACTGCTTCAGCATATTGTACATTTCTACATTTGCAATACATGTCCAGGAGAGCACTACCCACAAAGACATTATCTTTATAGTCCTTCCTGATGATAAAAGCATGAACTTGCTTGCCCTCTTCAAGGAGCTTCAGTCCCCCACATGCAGTCAGCACACTCCCGAAAGTATACTGATCAATGATCATCCCGGCTAATCTCATCTCCTGAAATAAATTAAGGGCATCTCTATCTAATCCATTCTGTACAAAACCAGTTATCATCGTCGTCCAGGAAATTGAATCTCTTTCCTTCATGTTGTGAAAGAGACACTTAGCGTCCTCCACCACTCCATGACGTAAAAGTCCCGTGATCAGTGTATTATACATTACAACATTCCTTTGGGGAATTTCATTGAATGCTTTCACGGCCTCATGAACCGACCCTATTTTGGAATACATATCGACCAAAGAACTTCCAACGAACACACAAGCCTTGAACCCAAATTTCTGTATGTGCCCATGAATCGCCCTGCCCAAGTTGACTTGCCCTTTACTTGACGACAACATGAGCAAGGTAGAAAATGTAATTCGATTCAAATTAACAGATCCATCCCTAAGCATCATGCTATAAGTCCCGACAACTTCAGTAACCGACCCATGAACCGCATACCCGGAAATAAGCGAATTCCAGGACACCCCGTCTCTGCTCGGCATGAGATTGAAGATGTCTTGCATTGTCGAGAGGTCCCCAGACTTGGAGTAAGCAGAAAGAAGGGTGTTCCAAGAGAAAGGATTTGGTTGGGCCATTTTGTCGAACACGTTGCGGGCGTACAATGGATTTCGCAGGTTGCCATACGCGTTAATCAGGTTGTTGGAGAGGAAAGGCTCTGGGTTCGATAGAGTCTTTAGGATCTGGCAATGCAGCTTCTTGACCTGGGTCTGATTCCGGGTTTCGCAGCACAGCTTGAGAAAGGAAGAGTACTGGTTAGAAGAAGAGCCAGACATTTTACGTTGTTTGTTGGCGGGAAAGGAAGAATAGAATACTTGCGATGGGCAAAGTTCAACTCCTGCAGGTAAATCTTTTTTCAGGGAAGAAAGTGAAACCAAACAAGAGACGAGAAGTAAGCATCCAACTGAATCTGTGGCCTGCTTGGTGCTTGCGGAACACAGCTCGATGGGCGGATAGTTGGATTTTTTTCCCCAATATATTCCGTTTTAATTTTTAAAAAGAAAATAGTGTAACATCCTAAAAAACTTTCCCGACAATGTTGTCCGCCTTGATTAGATTTTCACGGATTTTTCCTAGTGATCCATAGGGGTGTCGGTTCGGGTCGGGTCGGTTACCCAAACCGAAACCCGAAAAAACCCGAAAACCCGAACCCGATAAGGACTTGCGGGTTCCGGTTACCCGAAACCCGAAAATTCCTTATCGGGTTCGGGTTCGGTTAAAGGAAAACCGAAATCCGAAAACCCGAACGCCTAAAAATACGGGATGAGTTCTATTCATTGGAGGTTTTTAGCCGGAACCCGAAAAACCGATAAGCAAAACCGAACCCGAAACCGAAAAACCCGAAACCCGAAATGAACCCGAACCCGAAAAACCAAAACTGTATATAATCGGGTCAGTTTCGGGTAAACCCGAAAAACCGAACCCGAATTGACACCCCTAGTGATCCATATCAAAATGACTTTCTAAGAGGCAAACACATTTAACTTCCAAAGTTCTCACAAAATCTCTTTCAATTCACCCCTCAAACGTGTCTTGTTAGTTATGGCATGTTTCTTAGTTCTTACACATGAACCATTCATCTATCTCGTGTTTTGTTGATGTGTGATTCGCCTAAATGGTTGCATCCAGGTTTGTCCCACCATCATTAAAGAGAGACGCAAAGAGGCTCTGATACCACTTGTAACATCTTGAACCTTTTCTCGACAAGATATTGTCCGTTTTTGGTCTAGATCCTAACGGATTTTGCATTGAGGTGCATGTCAATGTGACTTTTCATAAGATCACTCATTCTTGCAGTACTTCATAGTGAGCATGGTGTACTTCAGAGTTCTCACAAGAACTCTTCCATTTCATCCCAAAAAGCGCATTGTTAGTTAATGTCGTTTTCTTATTTATGAACCATGGATCTCTCTTGTGCTTTGCCGATGTGCTATTCGCCTAAAGTGTTATAATTTTGGCCTATGGTAAAAACAAATCAAAATAGACAAAAAAAAAAGAGAATTAGTATATATAAAGTGTAAGTATGCTTAAGGGGTTCAGTAGGATATGTGGGAAAAAATCCAAAAGTACCACTGTTTAAAAAAAAATTCCAAAAATACCACCCAATCCCAAAAAATTCCAAAAATACCACCCTTTTTCAAAAACCGCCACCCCACCCAGTGGTTTGGTCGAAAACCGCTTGTCGGGGGCGCGGTTTTGGACCAAACCGTGAGCCTAGGGGGCGGTTATAAAAAAAAAAAAATTTGGACCAAAACCGCTGGGTGGGGTGGCGGTTTGGCCCAAAACCGCCACCCCAACCAGCGGTTTGGTCCAAAAGTCCGGTCGAAACTTCAAACGAACGTAACTTTGCACTCGGGTATCCGATCGTAGCGATATTTTTTTTCATTTCGCATAACTTTTCAAGATCTACAACTTTTACTAGGATGAAATTTTCAAAACAGGAACTATTTGTGGATATACGGGACCTTGAGAATAACTTTACCTTTACTTTTCAGAAATCCATGTACATTTTGAAATTATAATTATATTAAAAGTTGTAGATCTTGAAAAGTTATGCGGAATAAAAAAAAAATTCATGACATTCGGATTTTGGAGCACAAAGTTATGGGCGGCCATAACTTTGTGCTCCCAAATCCGAATGCCATGAATTTTTTTTTTATTCAGCATAACTTTTCAAGATCTACAACTTTTTACATAATCATAATTTCAAAATGTACATGGATTTGTGCAGCCTAGTTATTCTGCTAACTTGAAAATTCGTTAGTATATACTAACTAATATCCAAAATGTATGAACTAGTATCCAAGTTTGCTGAGTATCTAGATAGCACAGACTAGTATTCTAAACATTGCAAACTAGTATCCAGATAGCATATACCAACTAATATCCACAATCAACCAACTAGTATTCAATATGGATACTATTATGTGTTATCTGGATACTCTTATGTGTTATCTGGATACTAATTATGTGTTGTATGGATACTATTCTGTGTTGTCTAGATATTAGTTTGTGAATTTGGGATAATAGTTGATTCATGGTGAATATCAGTTAGCAAACTTTGAATACTAGTCTGTGCTCTCTAGATACTTTAGTACTTGGATACTAGTTCATGTATTTTGGATATCAGTTAGTATCTGCTAACGAATTTTCAAGTTAGCAGATTAACTTTTCCCGGATTTGTGAAAAGTAAAGGTAAAGTTATTTCCAAGGTCCCGTATATCCACAAATAATTCCTGTTTTGAAAATTTCATCCTAGTAAAAGTTGTAGATCTTGAAAAGTTATGCGAAATGAAAACAAAATCGCTACGATCGGATACCCGAGTGCAAAGTTACGTTTGTTTGAAGTTTCGACCGAAGTTAGGAGTTGATCGAAAAAAGAAAAAAAATTGGACAAAACCGCTGGGTGGGGTGGCGGTTTTGGGCCAAACCGCCACCCCACCCAGCGGTTTAGTCCATTTTTTTTTTTTTATAACCGCCCCTTAGCCCCGCGATTTGCATAGAAAACCGCGCCCTCGACAAGAGGTTTTCGTGTAAACCGCAGGGTGGGGTGGCGGTTTTTTAAAAAGGGTGGTATTTTTGGAATTTTTTAGGGTTGGGTGGTATTTTTGGATTTTTTTTTAAACAGTGGTACTTTTGGATTTTTTTCATCTTCACTAGGGCTGGAAGTTTGGTACCGGTATGTGGGATATACTGAATATCGTACCGAATTTGTCAATATTTGGTATTACCAAATACACGTATTATTTGGGAGGATTGGGATTGAGTTTCAATTGTTATTCGGTATTAGGGATTACGGGATTGAGATCGGTAATATATCGAAATACCGACAATACCGAAATAAAATCTAGGGTGTATTTTATCCTCTCAACTAGACTCTCTCATTCACTACTACGCGGCCCTCAACCACAAATAGTGTCATTTAATTATACATAGATCATTGCATCACTATTTCATGCTAGTATTAGTCGTTTCTCAACCTCAAATTCATCAAATTAAAGATTACCAATTACAAAAACTTGAGATGTTAGCTCTAGGCAACTCAAGACTCTTTGCTTAGTCTCTTTGCCCTAAATTAAACAATAAAATCTAATTTATATATTTAATTATTAATTGCGAAGGTAATTAATTTTGTATTTGATAATATCGATTGGGATACCGAAGTACCGATTGGGATACCGAAATATTTAGGTATTGGGATTGGGATTGAGATACATAAATTATTTAGGGATTGGGATTGATTTCAGGGAGTAATTCGGTATTCGAGATTTCGGTATTTGGTATTGGGATACCGATATTGTACCAATTTTCACCCCTAAGGCCCGTATATCCAAAATAATTCATTTTTTGAAAATTCTCTCCTACTAAAAATTGTAGTCCTCAAAAAGTTATGCAAAATCAAAAAAAAATTCATGATTTTCGGATTGTGGAGCACAAAGTTATGATCGTTCAAAGTTTGACGAAATCGAAAAAAGGCTCGTTCGGGGTAGCAAACGACGTTTTTTCGGGACGAAGGGGGGACCGGCTTGCAAGATCTCGAAAAATTATGCGGAATCAAAAAACATTTCACTACGATCGGATAACCGAGCACAAAATTACGTTTTTTTAAAGATTCAACGCAGGTCAGGCCTTCACCGCGGCCGTTGAATGCGGTGAAGCAATCACCGTGTTTGTCTACAGCGGTGATGCAATCACCGTGTTTGTCTAACGCGGTGATGCACTCACCGCTCTTCTTCAACGCGGTGAAGCAATCATCGCGTTAGTCTGACGCGGTGAAGGCCCAAACATGCGTAGATTGGGAAATTTTTTCATAACATGTGTATTTTGAGAATTTTTTTTAAAAACATGTGTAAAGTGGAATTTTTTCCTCATTTTTCTGGGTTTGAAATAAATGAAATGTTTGTTAAAAAAGGGCTGACGAGAGGAAATGGAGCTAGCTAGCTTGGAGCTGGCTAGATATTGAGTCTCCTTGACCGAACAACCTCCATTAAAGATCTTAAGCTCTTGCCCCAAGGTCATTAAGGCATTTATTTTAGTTAATTTTTTATCTTAAATGAAAGGAAAGGACAGACGAAAAAATAATAATACCCACTAAGAAAGATACAAGAAAATCCTTACCCCCCGAGTTGGCTGTGTCAGCTGCTAGCTAACATCTAGCTTTTGCATTTAATTATTGTACCTAAAAAGTTGCATTTGAAGATTAAAAAAGGTTGCCTAAGAAAAAAGGAAAAAAAAAATATGTTCAATATTATATGGGGACGCATAAATAATCCAATGCATAAGCAAAATGTAAAATAAAAATTGTTTGGAAATTAAAGTTATTCAACTACTTATTAGAGTTTAACAAGATTGTCAACCCATGGTCCATTGATCCATTTTGACACTGATCATCTGAGAAAAATGGGTCGCACGCACCTGTCGGATCGAACTACTGCAAAATTATCTGGTTGGAGGCTATAGGGTGTCATTTTTTCATTTGGTTTTGTGAAATGCACTTATTTTATGTTTTCCTCTTCGCCTAACCCTATTTTAGGAATTCTAAATTGAACATTCGAATATTGATTTTGTATAAGTGTGTATAGTGTGTGTGATTTTCACTATATGTTGTTTAAGTGTAATTTTATATGTTATTACTCATATGTGAGATGAAATTTCATATAATTTATAAATGTATAAACAATATAATGACTTGTATATATATATATATATATACTCAAAGTCTCAAACGGGTTAAAACAATCGAACCATTAACATTAAACCTATTTGCTGAACCGCG